CTGCTGCTGCGCACTCCCTGTGTCTGTCTGCCTCCCTCCTCTCCTGCACAGCTCAAGGCAACAACTGCCACTACCACCACTGCTCTCAGAGCGATGATGATGATGCGCTACGTGCTGCTTGCGTGTGCCCTCTGCGTGTGCGTGGGCTGCGGCTGTGCCGATGCTGACAACGGGAGACAGCTGAAGATGCGGCATTATGCTGTACACGCTGCGTCATCTGAATCTCCTCCGCATGCTGTTCTCACCGCTGATAGTGCTGAGAGTGAGGAGTGTGCAACTGGAAGTATTCGGTGTGTGCGTGATGAATCTGTTGTTATGGGTGTTACAGATACTGAGCATAAGAAGTGTGTGAAAAAAGGCGAGTCTTGTTCGGTGGGATACAAACCTGTTGGTGCAAGTTCTAGCAGTGAATCAGGTTCTTTTGAGAGTCAAGGTGGTTCACACAGTGGTGGTGTTCCTGGTGAACAATCGTGTCCGGAAGGCCAATCTATATGCCCACAACCGAAAACCCAGGAAGAAATGGCACAACAAAATAAGTTGGAGGTTAATTTATTGAAAGGTGATGGTCCAGGTCCTCAAGTTGCCGTGGAGTGTGGTACGAAAGAGATCCACTGTCCTGCTGTGGCTGGGCGCCAACCTGCGGGAGGGGTGTGTATGCCTGCTGCCACTTCTTGCCAAGGTGAGGTTCCTAAACAGCCTGGGGATGCTGAAGGAGAAGGCGATCCTAGTTCTACTGTGTTGCAAGACGGTGCTTTGAATCATAATTTGAGTGGTACGCCGCAAAAAGCAGAGAGGACGCAGTCAACGCTTCAGTCAGTCTCTGAGGGTGGTCCGGGTCGAGGCGACGATAGAATAAGCGAAAAGGCAGATGAGAGTCTCGTCAAGGCTGAGGAAACGCCCGAAGCGTTGAAAACTGTGCAGCTGTCGAAGGAAAAGACATCCCCAGGAAAACAGGAATCCCAAATTATTTCTGATGGCCTGAATGGCGAAAAAGAGAATCAAGGCGAGAAGATGAGTAATGGCAGTGCTGACGCAAACCCTCACCACACAAGCGACTCACTCGGAAACAGGGACACACCAAACGGAGGAGGAACGGGTGCCGAACAAACCAGCAACATCCACAAGAGTGAATCACAGGCCACTGATGGTGCCGGTACTGAAGTTGATTCCTCCTTAGCTGATCCTACGACGACTCGTGGTGAAAACGGCACTGAGGCAGCGGCAACGCATGGACAATCAGGATCTTCTTCCACGACTGCTGGTATCAGCGATGCCACTGACAGCAACCCTGCCACCACTGCTGCTGTCGAGAAAGTGAACGACACGAAGAATGCGGACAGCAGCGTCAGTCCTGTGTGGGTGCATGCACCGCTGCTTCTGGTGGCGTTGTTTGCAGTAACGGCTGTGTCATGAGCATCGTGGCCAAGTAACATGCCTCCTCGCTCTCTGTGTGTGTGAGTGTGTGTGTACTTATCCCCCTTCTCTTCGTAATGATTGCTTGGGGCTCAACTGCTGCCCCTTTGTGTGGTTGGTACTTTGCTTTGTGTGTGTGTGTGGTGTGTGGTGTGTGGGGTGGAGGGTGCGTTAATCCTAATTGCTTTTCATTTCTGCCTGCATGTGCTCGAGGAGTACGATAACCCTTTTATTCTGTGTGTGTGTGTGCGAGTATATCCACACTGCAGTAGCAGGATGTCTGCACGCACTTTGATTGGGTGGAGATTCTTTATTAAGAGACTTGCTTTGTGGGGAAGATTTGTGTTGGGCGCATGTGTGCTG